CTGTTCCCCCCCCCCCCCCCCAAAAAAAAACCACACCATATTTCCTACTACGATGTTGTATAAAACATGAGAAGTAATTCCGTTCTACTCTGTGCTGATTAGGCTTCAACTGGAGTATTGTGTCCTGTTCTAGGTTTCATCATTTCAGGAAAGATGTGGACAAATTTGAAGAAATCCAAAAATTATTAAAGATCTAGCAAACATGACCCATTGAACTGTGAATTTTTTTGTTTGGGTCCAATTATCTACAGAAGGAGCATTCATACATAATATTATTTTGCTGTTCTTCTAGTTCGCTTCAATAGTAGATAAGTTGATGACCATCTCGAAGTCTTTACATCTTTTTTTCGCTACATTTACTGTAGGAAATTTTAATATATTTGGATTTTAGTATGCTATTGGAAAAATAGTTTTCAACTTTGAGAATCGAAAAAATATATATTTAGCTTGTTGTAGGATACTTCCACCAGACAACCAAAATAAAATTATTTTTATTGTAATATGTATATATGTAAAGAGGAAAAAAAGAGCTACAAATAATCTAATTCCTTAGTTGCCACTTTTCCAGTTGATGTATTATTATGCATGTGATGTTTCAAAGGATCAGCACAGGCTTAAAAAAACAAAATTTATAGTTTTTCTTTTATATTTTTGTACAGGTATTTCAGACTAGCTTCTTCAAACTTATATGTGATTTATTCTTAATTCAGTAGTTTCTATGATTGGGAAATACTAACACACATTAGTTCTTATTTGCTCTTCTGCTCATAAGAGTCTGCTTTGTTAGTTTCTAGAATGCAAATGAATAGCTTTATCTCTTGACGAGAAAGTCTTACCAGGCAGTTATTTACCTACCTTGAAAGTAGGAATAAGGGATCTTGCAGAAAAGGGCTTATTTTCCGCAAGATCCCATCTAGACTGGCACTTTTCTCCGGCAAAACCCCGAGCCAGAAAAAAGCGGCAGCCATGTTCATGCAAATGCCGCGGGGGATATTTAAATATCCCCCGCGGCATTTGCAATTCCGAAGTGTCTCATTAGCATTCCTTTTCTGGAAAAGGGTGCCAATGTAGACACAGCGAAAGGGTATTACAAGGAGGAGGAAGAAAAATTGTTCTCCTTGGCCTCTGATAATAGGACAAGAAGCAATGGGCTTAAATTGCAGCAAGGGAGGTTTAGGTTGGACATTAGGAGAAAGTTCCTAACTGTCAGGGTGGTTAAACACTGGAATAAATTGCCTAGGGATGTTGAGGAATCTCCAGCATTGGAGATTTTTAAGAGCAGGTTAGACAAACACCTGTCAGGGATGATCTATATGGCCGCTGATCCTATCGTGAGTGCAGGAGACTGATCTAGATGACCTCTCGTGGTCCCTTCCTGTTCTAGAATACTAGATTTCTAGGCATGAGTACGGAACCCACTGCAGTCCCTAGGTGTTCCTACAATAGGATTAATGATAACTATGGCAGTACTCCTGCAATGCTGCCACCTCCGCTGGAATGAGAACAGTTTTGTCCCTTGCCTTGTCCAGCCTGCCTGGTAACTAACCCAAGTGATGGGATAAGGGGAGGTGGCTGCAGCATGGGGAGTTTGAGGATATAAGAGTGCACATGGTGCATGACTGAAAGGCAGCAAATGTCCTTGGAGATTCCACCCCACCTCAGGCAGCAGGCTAAGAATTAATTTCAGCCTCAGAATGGAAGGAAATGCTCTACAGACAAGATCTAGGAGCTGTGGGCACAGGGCTCTGAATCTGGAATAACTGTAGATGTCAGGGGAGTCAATAGAGTCACTCCAGATTCAGATAGGAACGGCCCTCTGGCTGTATGATCACATGGGAGGCACTGCAGCTCTGCCTGTACCAACAGTTCCCTGCATGGCATGGGATCTGACAGGGAATGGTACCTAACCCACTTTGATGAGCAGTCACTGGTCGGCACCAGTCTGATCCCATAGGATTGTTCTGTGTCTCAGCCAGAGAGACTGGCCTTGGCTAGCATGTTTTACAAGGGATATTTCATGTTTCTCCACAGATAAATTTAACTTTTTTTATTGTAATTCTCTGGATCCTGAGAGACAAACTCTCCTCCCTTAATGAAGACGTGTCCACTCTCAAAGACACCAGGTAGGAGCACTAATCTGCTAGAAGGGCCTAGTAAGCCATATGGGAATTTCTGTGGGATTCCCCACACACTGCTGCTACCATACCATCGGATGACTTGCCCCTGTAGGGTTTCCAGGTTATCTTGGTGACCTTCTGCCTATGAGACGGTAACAGTCTCACCACTAAGCCCTAACTCATGCCAGCAGTCCCTTACTCCTGAGTCCTGATGTTGTCGGTGGGACCATCTGCCAAACTAAGGACAATTTGCATGGATGCAGTATCGGCCCTTAAATAGACACAGCACAGCCAGGGTGGCAAAGGTAGAGTCAAGTTTGGGGAGAGGAGATGTCTGCACCAGTAAAGGATCATATGGGACACATCTTTCTGCCATGTGCAGCATGTTGGTCCCTGGCTGGATTGAGATGAAAGTTGCAGTCTGTTCCAAAGCCCACTGAAGCCAGGGTACGGAAGAGCCTGCTAGATCTGGGAAGCTCTTGCAGTCAGTCCCGTGGCATGTTCAGATTGTGGGCATGCAAACTGTCTTCAAAGCAGTTCATTATGGAATCTGTTTGTTAGAGAGGAACAAGATCCGGGCCTCCAGCTGGGAGTCCTGGAAGGAGACATGAGAGGAGGAAAGGATTTTGGGGCCAGACCAGAATGTTGGTGCTTCAAAAAGCCATGGGCTGTGTCTACATTGGCAAGATTTTGCACAAAAGCGGGCTCTTTTGCGCAAAATCTTGCCGCCTGGCTACATGGGCTGTGTCTACATTGGCAAGATTTTGCACAAAAGCGGGCTCTTTTGCGCAAAATCTTGCCGCCTGTCTACATTGGCCGCAAGTATTTGCGCAAGAACACTGATGTTGTAATGTACAAAATCTGTGCTTCTTGCGCAAATACACTGATGCTCCCGATCAGGGATAAGTCCTCTTGCACAAGTGTTCTTGTGCAAGAGGCCAGTGTAGACAGGTAACCAATTTCTTGCGCAAGAAAGCCCGATGGCTAAAATGGCCATCGGAGCTTTCTTGCACAAGAGAGCATCTACACTGGCACGGATGCTTTTGCACAAAAGCAAATCTGTTGCACAAAGGCACATGCCAGTATAGATGCTCTCTTTCACAAATACTTTTAATGGAAAAAATCTTCCGTTAAAAGTATTTGTGCAAAATCATACCAGTGTAGACGCAGCCATGGTGTCTAGAATCACTTTGTGCATGTGCCTAGTGCTGTATAAGGAGAAATGCAAGTCTGTGCTGATATTCAGACCTGGCATCCATGGCTCTAAGGACGCCATGTGCTACTTATGGAGGAAATTCACCTCAGTTTCCCTGGGGCTGCGGAGGGGTAAAGCGCCATCAATCGAAGCAGACAAGTCTGGTTTCCTGCAGCTCTGTAACAACTTCTCTATTTGTGGAACAACACAAATGGGTTCCCAAGAGCCCAGTCTCCTGATCCCACTTGATTGTCACGTTGGCAGCGCCTGACGTGAAGGGTTTAAAAACAAAGCAGTAATAAGAGGTTGAACCATTTGCTGTGGAAGAGCCTCCTCTCCGAGAGAAGCTGGGGGTGGGGAGATGCTTGGCCATAACACTGTATTTAGGATTCATAAGAATAAGTTGCCATTGTGTTCATCTCGACAGTAACCCTATGGCACAGTAAAGCAGGTGCCAGCAGTTTTACCCCACACTGCTCAGAGCCCCCGGACTCAGTCGCTCACCGTCGGGCCGTTATAATGGGATCTCTCTGTCTGCTTTTCTCCAGAGTACTGACTTTTAAAGCTGTCGCCCAGGTATTCATTCTGGGCTGCACCTGGAGTCTTGGTCTCTTGCAAATCGGCTCAGCAAAAATGGTCATGGCGTATTTATTCACCATCGTCAACAGCCTGCAGGGAGTCTTCATCTTCCTAGTGCACTGTCTCCTCAACCGCCAGGTAATGCCCCACGACGAGTCATCAGCCACCTAGTGACTTCATGGGCCTAGCAGTGGCCTGGCGTGAGGCAGTAAGTTACATGATGGCCATATCCCTTATTCTGCAGGTGAGAGAGGAGTACAGGAGATGGATTACAAGCACAAGAAAACCCAGCCCCACAACTCAGACTTTTAGTCTCTCCACACCCGCTGTCTCTTCCAGCCCCAAGATGGTAAGAGAGCCGCTGTTCTGTTCCAATACCCGAATCCAAAGGTGCACCTGTCTGGGTCTGTTGTAGCTCTGGGGGTGCCTCATCCCGGGTGACATGTTTGTTTTAATCTGGGGCTGTGGGTCCTCTTTTTGGTCTGGGCCCACTGACCCAAAGAAAAAACCTTCTGGAGCTACACACCCATAAGACGCAGCTCCTCTCAAAGTAAAGCAAAACAAAACAACCCCTCACTGGCCTGGCCCCTGAGAAACAAAACAAAAGACACACTCTGGGCGCCAGGGCTCCCTCATGTTCTAAACCTGTGGGGCCAGATCTGGCCCCCGGCATCCCACAATCTGGTCCGCAGTGAGGCTCTGGGCTTCCCTTCCCCCCACAGCAGGGCAAGCCAATGCTCCAGGGAGGTGCCAAGGCAGGGAGACTTGCAGAGGGCTAGAGCACTAGTGCCGCCTCGCCCTGGGCCAAATCCAGCCGGTGGGCTCTAAATTCCCCATCACTCTTTTAATCCATCTGAGATCAAGGGGGAATCCCAGTGTGATGGGTTTCCCTCCCCATCCTCCCACTCCGGTGCCACTTGGAACTGGGATACCACTAAGCCTGTCTATCCCACCCACGGTTCCCCTTACTCTGTGCTGGTTGGGAAAGCCACACGCACAGGTTGAAACACACCCAGCTGCTTTTATCTTCACACTGATGCTGAGATCAGCTCTGCATGGGAGAGTTGAGCAAGTGCACAACCCCTCCGGAGTGTAAACCCAAAATTGTATCATCTTGAGCTGCACAGAGAACTCTCCTGCGTAAGCTCGTAACGACCTCCTTCTCACTCAGTGTGCACAGGGACGTGCAAAGCCTTCTGCCCCAAGCCAGAGTTCCACACTGGCTTTAGAGACAAGCCGAAACAGGTTAATTAACTACAAATGTAGATTTTAAGTGATAGCAAACAGATCAAAGCAGATTACTTTAGTAAATAAACAAAAACAGCAAACTGCGCTTAACTCACTAGATAGGCAGGTGTCGCTCTAACAGAAGGCTCAGATACACTCAATAAAGCCACACAGGGTGCATAAATATAAGAGGTTTTATTGCCAGGGCATATTACGCCTCACAGCCTTCACGCATTACTAAATATGTGCTTTTCACTGTGGAGAAGCAAGCAATTAAGCAAGCAAGCTAGCAGGCAAGCAAGAATCCAATGCTTACGCCCCTTCTGCTACAGACAGTCCCGGACCCTCCGTCCGTGCTCTCGAGGGCTAGTAGCGGGGGCTGCTCCAGCATGGGGAGTCCTTGGGCACCCACACAGCCTAGATCCACAGGTGAGACTGTTCGCCCAATCAGTGCCTTTCGGTCATCTTATAATTATTCCTGTTTTAGGGGCATAAACCTTCACAAGCAGATTCTGACAGGAAACACCACCGCTATCTAATTCTCATACATCATGTCCTTGGGCCTAATTATCTCACAACTTGTTTACGCAACTAAGGAGGCTTTGGGCCAGCTCATCACGGCTGACTCTAGCCAGGCTGTCTGTGATAAGGTGCATGGGTAACTGGTGGTCAGCCCTGACAGCAGGGTATAAATTAGCAAATTCTAACCCTGAGTGTGCATCTATGCTGTCCCCTTCCCTCGAAGTAAGCTACTTACTGTGTACTTGTTTTGCTGGCAGGTGAGTTGGGAAGACCCCGTCTCCACCTTATCTTCATGAAACCATCACATCTCCAACAAACCATGCTCATCAGGCAGCCGGCTTTGCTGTGCCAGTGGGGTTGGTGCTTCAGCTGCCATTCTTCATTACAGCTACCAACAAAACCTGGAGGGGAAAGCAGAATTGGACCAAATCTTCTCTCAAATCCACAATTGAATTCAGAGGCTACTGTAGGGCTGTAGCTGGGTGTCTCTCCCTGATTTAAAGGGCCAGCTTGCAGATCCAGTAGTTATTTCTTAGCAGAAGCACACCATGGTGTGGGAGGCGACTTGCAGAGCCCTTGTACGCTATGTGTGTGAGCTCATTCTGCTGTTGCACCGTGATGTGTAAACAATAAAATAACCTGCTTATGGACCTGGGTTGCTTCTTTGGTCTGAGTTTTGCTATCATGTTCTGTCTGTCCTAGAAACCTAGTCCTCATGTCTCCTTATGCCAATCTGGCAGTGCAAAGGGGCTTCAAAGTGGGCAGAAATGGCCTTGTGATTAGCCCTCCCATGGGTGGAGGGGGGGGGGTCCTTCTTGGCTGCTGTAGAACTGGCATAAAATCTCTACATTAGCCCTGCTCCCAACACCTGGCACGGGGTGGTGACTGGTGGGGAGGAAGTGAAGCTAAGGGCATGGTAGAAGCACAATGCTTCATGGCTATGGTCTGCTTGCTAAGGCCCATAAAGATCCTTGGAAACGTGCTTATCTAAACCACCTGAGGACCTGGCCCATAGTAGACTTGTCACTGCGCCAGCACTGACATTGGCCATTCAATGCTCCATTTTTTTAAAAAGAACCTTTGTTCTCAAACCGTGTGTTTCCCACAACACTATGAAATTCAGTGATGTCATTTTCCATGAGAAACTTCTCCAAACTGAGTGCAGTGACTGTGTGAGGCCATTTCTGTTTGTTGGTATTTAGTTACATTCTCTGATTCCTGGCACATACAGTCCCACTGGACTTGGTGCTGTACATACACAGAATAAGAGGCAGTCCCTGACCCAAAGAGCTTACAAGCTTAGTAGAGCAGATGGACACAAGGTGGGAGGACAGAAGGATTAATATACAGAGGGAGAACGGGATCAGATGGCATGGCTAAAATCACATAGGAAGCCTGTAGCAGAATCAGGAACTGAATTTAGTTCGACTGCCTCTTTTTTTTCTTTGGTTAAGAGTTGGACTTTCACCAACCACTCATTTTCTCTGCTGCACTTTACACTGCAGCTATTCAGCTGGTGAAAACCAGCATTGTTTTGCCTTAGATAAGGAATGTGGAGAGCTATCATGAGAGCTGCCATCTTGCTCACTTTAGAAGAGCTGCAGAAAAAGTGGCTGTGAACTTCCAAAAAGGAGACAGACTTGGGGCCTCATTCAGTTCACATATTTCTACTAACAGATTTAACTTACCCCTGGACATTGGCCCTTGTTGGTTGAGATGTCGCTGCCCAATGAGCTGGTGTTTAATGTAGGACTCAGCTCCCTGCTTGAGAGGCAGGATGATCATCTGTGTAAGACAATGGACAGGGTGGTAGATATGCAGGGGTGGAAGGGGTATGCTGTGCATGACATTGAAATATACACAGAGGCTGCATGTTTTCTGGGTGTGAAGAGTTTGCACAATCAATGCATGTGATGGACAAGCGGTTCCCCAGTTGCAGGAGAGCTCCTGACTCCATGCCTCACCCGCTTGGTAGATCCAGGTTCTGTCTCCTCATCAGAGCCCCTCCCCAGCTTCAAACTTACTGGGTTCATGGATTCCCTCCGAGCTCGGGCGCTGTGCATCCTGCTTTACCCAGCGTGAAAGTGTCCTCCTGCCCCTTTTACATGACTAACGAGGTCTGACATTTTAGCTGCTGCTCTTGGTGAATGTGCTTCACCTCTACCGGCCGCTACTGCTCCAGGGAACAGGGACTGGGCCAGCTGGTGGTGGGGTTCTCCTCATGCTTTGGAAAGACAAAGCGCTCTCTCTTCCCCTGCTTCCGCCTCCCTCCATTCACAGATAGGCCAACATGTAGCAGCTATCAGCTGTTTGCAAGAAAGCAGCAACTTTGACTGCCATGCAAAGGCTTCATGTCTGGGCCGGACTGGAGCCGGGAGGTTTGTCAGACACAAGAATCTTCCCTTTGCCTCCATGTTCTTCATCCCTGGAAAGAAAACCAGCAAAATGACAATAGCACCTAGAGTGTCATGTACACAGCGGTGGCAGCAAATGAAGCTCCTGTGTCCTCTTACTCCATAAACGGAAGAGCCAAAGGAGAGTCCTTGAAGTGCTGACTGATCACTGGGCACAGTCATCTGGACCGACAAGGTTTCAGTCCCAGGAAAGAATCCTGCTTTTCTCTGCTGCCCCTCTCCTGCAGTCCCGCACTCCCCTCTGGGCCAAGGACCCTCCACAGCAAGGCATCTGACCCTCCACAGCCGCTCTGATGCCGTCTCACTGTGGTCTCTGAGGATGGATACAGCCGCGCTGTGGGAGGAGGGACTGGCCCTGTGGATCCACAGGGTGAGGGCAAAGAACGTCACATAGATCTGTGGGAACAGCTAAGGCAGAGACTGGTCGCAGGGGGCCGAGCCGAACTCCGAGGAACTGGGGCTGCTGGCAGTGATCGCCTCTTCTGTAAGGGCCCTGGCAGCATTGGGCCCTCCCCATGCATGGTGACAATGGCACACCAGGGCTGAGATGGACCAATGGGATCACAGGGGCCAGATTCTGCTCAGTGTTCAATATGGAGCCTCTCTAGTCGCTGGTGGGGTCAGAAATTGTCCTGGGTTTACACTGGAAACTGAGAGCAGGATTTGATTCAGTTTCCAGAATCTCTCTCCAGCCTCTTCCCTGCCACGTTCAGCCTTGTAGTGGTCTCCCTGTCCCTGTGATGGGGGAGGAATCTGCATGGACTTTGGCATTTTCACTCCACCCAGTGTAGGTTCCCATCCAACTCCACCTCCCAAACACCACATGGTGCAGCCCTTCCCTCCCCTCCCCTCCCCTCCATGGGCAACTGGTGACTGAGCCCTTGGGGGAAGCCCCTGCACCTCACCTTGCAAGGAGTAAGCACCACAGGAGCTCACTCCCAGCCAACAGGGGAGGGCCGAGCAGCGAGCCCAACAGCGAGTAGGGGCAGGGAAGTGTTTTTTCCTTCCCACGTGGCATTGGAGAGACACCGGCTGGAGTACAGGTGCCAGTTCTGGGGTCGGCATTTGGTGAAGGATGTTGAACCACTGGAAAAGGTGCAGAAAAAAAGCTACAAGAATAATTCAAGAACTCGAAAAAAAAAATGCTTGACAGTGAGCGCCCCGAAGAGCTTGGTCTGCAGCACATCAAAATGAAGACCAAGAGGGAAACGTGCCCGTGACTGAAGTCTTCACATCCAGCCTGGCTGCTGTCCTAGTTCTGTGCAAACAGCCCAACTGACCACAGCATCCGTTATGGTAAAGGAAGTGCAGCTCCGGGCAATTGCTAGCCCCCCTCCCCCCCCCCCCTTGTAAAACGTGACTGAGGGGACTTTCGTAATGCGCAGGGTGGTTCTGAGGCCTGAGGCGGAACTACCCTACCTGGCTCTCCATCCGCAGATCTCCGGATGCTGCCCAAGGGAGGGGCAGTGTTAGTGTCCCTGGTCTACCATGGCAGGGTGCAGAGTCGCCCCTAGAGCCAGTACAGTGGTGCATAATGGCCCCAGCTGTGAGCTGGGTGGACCCAGTGCAAAAGGGGGACCTAAGGTCAGTGTCTTGGCTGGTTGAGGCTCCCCCCACCCCCACACAGAGGGGGTATCTAAGAGTGAGCGCCCAGGCAGAGGGGCCAGGCCCAGGTATAGCCACAATTGCCCCGGGCATGGTTCCACCGTAGCCCAAGGACAGATTGTGCTAGACCAGTGGTCTCCAACGTGGTGCCCGTGGGCACTATGGTGCCTGCTGGGCCATTTATGTGCGCCCACCAAACAATTTGGGCCGGCCCTGCCCCGGGTGCATGGCACATGTGCTGTGCTGGCCCTCGGCGCGTGGCACATGGGCGGCCCCTGTTCCGCGGTCGCGGCACATGCCGGTGCTGGCTCTGGGCGCATGGGCAGCCCCTGCCTGGGGTCACGGCACATGCTGGTGCCGGCCCCTGGTGCGCGGTGCATAAGCGGCCCCGCCCCCAGGCGCCTGGCAGCCCCAAATGGTTGGGGACCACGGTGCTAGACAATACACCGTGCACCCCCCCCCGGGGGTTTTTAGCCACAGCAGGAGCCCTGCATGGCTATGCGGAGGGAGTGACCCTTTCACTTCCCGCACTTCTGTGACCCACCGCGCCCTCCAGCTGCAATCCACAACCCTGAGTGGGGCTCTGCAGCCGGGCGTAACTCCGCTGCGCTAGGACCGTTCTGTTCTGCTGAGGGCCGGCGTCCCCGTCGCGCACAGTACTCACGGCGCTGCACTCACGGCTCGCGGATGCCAGAGAGCTTGGCTGGCAACTGACACACAAGTCCGACGTGCGCATTCCAGCCCAGCCCAGCACCTGACCTGTGCTCGGGCACCCAGAGGTCCCATGACTACAGCACCCAGGGGCCTGTGGGAGCCCCGCTGGAGTGTGATAAGATCTGAGCCATTTCCAAGAGCAACCTGTGAAATCTGCAGGACTCCCCCGAGGACTTGGAGAGTCTTGGCAGGCTCTAATGCCGGGGGAAGCTCTGCCGTGCAGGCCGCGTCCGGCTAATGGAGTCAAGTGATGTTGCTTTTTGGACTTACCCGAGCTGGGATCCGAGGCACAGCTCAGACGGAGGCCACCGAGGAGCACAGGATGCGTGAACAGCACACAGAAGCCCTGAGCCTGCAGTGTCCTCTGATGGGTTCCCCTAGTGAGACAGACTTGGCGTGGGTGGAACTGGTGCTTCAGGGAGTGGGACTGAGTCCTGCATCCTCCTGGGCTCAATCCAGCCTGTGTGAAGAAAGGAAGCAGGAAAGGATCTGTAACAATACGGTGTTTCTGTAACCATGTTGGAAGCTCTGTAGCCATATTGGTGGGCCTGAACCAAAGACCTCTCCTGCAGCCAGACTGCAGAGCAGCAGCCATAAGCTATTAGACCTAGAGTCGCATACTCACATTCCATCCAAACTGCATTAAATTAGTGTCACACCAGGCTGTGAGAAGGCCACTTTGTCCTAATGGCCCCCACTGTCACCAGATAAAGACACAGATCTCAAGATGGGTAAAGAAAACGTAAGTAATACCATGCTGTCTGGCAAGACACTGCTTATCGAGAGTTGAGGTTGTGGAATCCGCATTCTGTGATTATTGGCGAGCAGTGTGTGTCAGTGGGACTTGCTTGCTGCACGCTTGCCAGAGGACACTGGAGGGATCACATTCAGGCAGGGTGCTCGTACAC